AGGGCAGGTTTAGATGGAGCTGAGGAACAATTCCTGCCCCAGAGGGTGCTCAGGCATTGGAACAGGCTGCCCAGGGCAGGGCTGCTGTCACCATCCCTGCAAGTGTTCACACATCCTCAGTGCCATGGGTTAGGGGTGGCCTTGGCAGTGCTGGGGTAAGGGTTGGACTGGATGAGCTGAAAGGGCTTTCCCAGCCTGGTTCATTCTGTCATTACAGCTGCCCAAACTGCACGGTGATTTATTCCCAAAAAGGGATATTTTGGGGTAGCACCACTCTACCCCGCGCCCTGGTGCACGCCGGGTGCTGTGGCAGAGCATCGCCTTCTCCCAGCACCTCTCACCGCTTCCCAAGCTGAGAGCTGGAATGGGGCACAGCGACTCCCGCTCCCGCAGATTGAAAAACTGCTCTGGAATCCTTGGGGAGGAAAGCTGCTAAAAATACACGGGGGCAGGAGTCTTGGTACAAGAAGGAAGGATCGCTGGCAAGAAGCATGGCCCAAGAGTGCCGGGGAGCACCCAGACATCGGAGCCAGACCCTGACCCTCTGCTCCGTGATGCTGCCTGGACAAGGCTGCAAGTGAGGGCCATGGGAGAGCCAGAACCCAACCTCGTGCCACCAGTGAGTGCGGGCTCACCAAGCGAGAGTGGGGTAAGAACCAGGCAGGGAAAAGGCAGGATCCTACAGATCTACCCCAGACCTTTGCTCCCGGTCTACAAAGCACCCGGATCTTCCTGCTAATAAAAACCCGACGCTTGCTTGGGTCGGGGGCTCGCGTGCGGGTGTGCTTTGTCCTAAACCCGAATTGCCTAAGCTTGGAAGGGGGGGGGGGGGAAGGCAGGAGCTGGCTGCCTCTGGGGGAAGGGCGGGCGGCGAGGAGCTGGCATGGGGATCGCAGCCCATCCTCCACGCACGCCGCGTCTGTAAACTTTGAACATCTTCCGGAGAGAAGTTAGTGGCTATTGTGAACAGCTGGATCTAATTGTGCGAGCAGCGAGGAGGAGACAGTCGGGGGGGGGGGGAAGAATAAAGCTTGGCGCTCCCAGGCAAGGATCCCCGAGCCCGGCCAGCCCGCCCGCCTCCAACCCGCCAGCAGGGAAACTGAGGCACGGCGCGGCGCGAGGCTCAGCATCTCCCTGGGTCACGCAAACCTGGCGCAGAGGCACGCAGGGCATTGCCCTGTGCGTGTCCCATCGCCCCACGGCTGCTCCCAGCCAATGCAGGGTCACCCCAAACCCCACAGCAGCATCTTCAGACCCCGGCACCGCACACATCCCTCCCTCCAGCCGGCTGCTTCCCGCAAGGCTCTGCCCACCACCTAAAATTAGCTCCAGCTCGGCCGGCCCATCCCCGGCCACCCCCCGCAGAAGGAGCTCTGCCAGCACACGCTCTGGGTCCGTCTGATCCCCCCCGGCAGCGAGGGGGAAGGGGATAAACCAGCCTCCTCCACTGCTCGCATCTTGCAAGCCACCTGTGAGCGAGAGGTTCCTGCTGTTATTTCTTACAGGGCGAAACGCAGCCCTGAAGTCACCTTCTGGCTTGTAAAAGGATGGATGAGGGTGAGAGCTGGGCTGGCTTTAGCCAGTGGAGACCTGGCACATCTCATGACACAGCCCTGGAAGGCGCTGGGCATGCTGGGTTTTGGTGCTGCTGCTGTCTCGCGGCACCAAACAGGGGATGCTGGGGGCATCAGAGCACTACATCCATTCGGGACCAGATGAGGGGACACACTCCAATGGGATTTGCATCACCAGCATAGACATTCTTCAACAAAAGGACACTCACGTTTCTATGGACACCATCAGCTGTGCCAAAGCAGAGCCCTTTATGAACATCATCCCCAACTGCCACCCCAAGGATGAGACTGTGGGGTTCACGGCTTGTCACCTCCAAAGTTCTGAGCCACATGTGCTCAGCACAAACCCTTCAACAACCTGCATGGGGACCCCAGAACAGCGCCCAGTGCCACGATCCCCCTACTCCCCACCGCCATGGGTACGTGAGCGGCCACCCAGCACCACCAGGAGGTTCTGCTGGGCCCCTCACTCCCATTGCACCAAGCGGGGAAAACCGGAGCACCGGGAGTTGCGGCAGCATGTCCAGACCTGCAGCAGGATGCGGCCGCGCGTTATCGCAGAGGGGGGTGGCTGCCCCTGCCACGTGCCCGCTGCAGGCTGGCACGGGGACGGCCCCGCCGCTCACCCCATCATTACCTCCCTCCCTTCCTCCCTCCAAAAAAACATTTCATAAGCCTCCACGTGACGGTGGCAATAGCGAACGCCCGCCCATGCGCTCCGGGAGCCTGCCCCAGCCGCAACACGCAGGTGCCTGGGCACCAACCCCAGCTTGCACCTCGGACACACGGATGAGGAGCTCGGAGCATGGCCTGGCCACCCAGCAAATCCCCTAGGGATGGGAGCTCCCGACATAAAAGCTGTTTGGTTATATCGCATCCACCAGCAGTGGATGTAACACCTAGGCAGCCCCGCCAGCCCCTTGCAATTGCCATATAGAATTTAGTAAAGAGATAAGCTCTTAGAGATGGGACACTTTTTGGACATCATCCGTCCCATTCGTTGATGGGATCCCAAGCCCACAAAGAGCCCTGGGATGGCTTTTGCCACGTGAATCCCGGCAGCATCCTTCATTAGGGCTTTGCAGCCCATTCTCCTCTTCCATTCCCTGCTTCCATGGATAGAAGAGGTACTAAGGCAGGAAAACACACTGTTTTCCTGTAAACAGCCCAAAATTGCCCATGTCCCCGGTTTCCAGCTGAGCTCACCTGCCACCAGCCTCGTGCTCGCTGCTTTTGACAGGAGCCACGCAGTTACTCGCTATTTAATACATTAATTATACTGATTGGCAGTGCCACCCCTCCTCCCAGAGCTGACCTGCTCCACACCACCAAGGAAGGTTCCTTCCCTCAGCACAGTGCCAGGGCCACCGGCATTCACCTCCCGACCATCTCTGGTGGCAGCAAGATGAGGATTAAATGGCGATTACAAAGAGATGCTGCTCGTGGTCTCATGGTAGATAGTAACTGTATGTCATGGGACATGGATGCAAGTCCCTTTTACTGATGGACGTGGGGGCTGAAGGGGGTTTTGCTTTGCAGGAAGGTGATGGTAGAGGTGGGACGCCTGCTGGAGGGGTCACCTCTGCACCAGTTCGCTCCCCAGAATGCCCTGGTTGAAGCATCCCCCTGCTCCGAGCTGAGCCCTGACACTGCAGGCACCCCGGTGGGGACGAGGGTCCTTGCAATGCCCAGTGCCACTCACAGAAGGCAGCTGGAGCCCGTTGTGGAGCTCGCTGCTTTCAAAGGGTTATTTTTGTTAGAAAAGCCAGTGCGGTGCCAGCCCCGGGCAGGGATTTGGGTGCCCAACATTCCCTGGGGATGGGAACATCCCCCCCGTGTCACTCGCCTGGGAGGGGGTGGCTGCTCACCCCACGCTCATCCGCAACCCCTTCCCATGGGAACACTGGCTCCACAAACCCAAACACAACTAAATCCAGGGCCTTCTCTCAACGGGGCACTTGTGCCCGTCCTCTCCAGCGGGGAAGTGCCGGGAATGTCACTCAGACAGCGCCACGGTGACAGTCCCTTTTCCCACAAGCAGGGTCCCAGCCCCACCACCCCACACCCATTTCCCCCCCAGTTTTGCTGTTGGATGACCTTGGCGAGCCCTCGCTCCACATTCACTTTGGGGACCCTCTTCTCTCATCCCAAAGTGAAACAACCCACCCCAAAAGTGGGTGCAGGCAAGAGCTTTGGTGCCATGGAGGCCCGCAGAGCCGGTGGGTGCAGGGGAGGGGATCAATGGCCTGGCAGCCCCCCAGCTCTTTACCCATCATCACAAGCAGCCCAAAACCGGGTAGGGGGGTGGCAGCCCCACTGGCAGGGCCCCCCGGGGCAGTGCCAAAGCCCTGACTCACAGCACGCACGTACCCGCGCCGGGTAAAGCGATAGGAGGGGACAGAGGACGCCGGAGCCCAAAATACCCCGGCGTGCCTGACACCGGAGATTATCGCTTTGCCGTGGGCCGGTCGCCTGCCCTGGCTCCCCGCAAAGCACCAAAACCCCCCAGATCTCTGCCCTCACCTCTCCCCGTGCCAAGCACCCAATGGCAATGCAGGCTGCAGGGTGCCCACTGCCCTGGCAGGGCCTCCACTACCATTTCCAGATGGTTTCTCCCCAAAATACAGGTGTTTTTCTCACCCAAGTACAGACCTGAGCAGTTTCGGGGGGTGGAGACGGGTGGCACTGCGAGGGCTTGGCCTTATTTTCCTTCCAAAGGGGTTAAGGAAGAAAAAACACCCTCCAACCCCAACCCCAAGGAGGGTGTAAAAATAAAATAATAATAATAATAATAAAGATGACACACTGCTCAAAATTATACACCTAATTGCTGCCTCGTTAGCAATGCGCCCCTATGACGAGGCACGGAGTGTTTAGCATACAGTCAGTGTATGGTCATCCCCTACATGCGTGTGACACACATGTAACGTGACATGCGTGTAGCCCCCACCCCCCGCCCGGGACAGCCCCCCAGTCCCGTGCTGCTTCCCCGGGGGGGAGGGGGGTGTAGCCGGGGCGTTTATCTCTTTCTATAACGCCTGGCGCCTGCTCCCGACGTGCGGGCTATACTGTACACAAGGCCTCTTTGTAACCCGTAGGTCCCTATAGGGGAACAGCCGGAGCGGGGAAGCAGCGCAGAACAGCCCCGACGGGGCGGGACCCTGGGGACCCAACGGGGGAGGGGGTGGTTGGGGACACCTTGGGGACACCGCGGCTGTGCCCCTCACACACACCCCCGTCGGGGGGTGAGCTCCAAGGGGGCGGACGGGGCTGCCGGGTACCGAGGGGCGAGGGCTGGTGCGACCCCGCCGCCTCCCCAGCAGCCGCCGGGGCTCGGTGCAGCCGGAGGGCCGGGAGGAAGGAGGCGCCGGAGGAGGAGGAGAAGGAGGAAGGGGGGTTGGGAGTCTCTTCCCGGCGGGCACTTACCTGCTCCGTGCTCCGGAGGGGCTGGGCCGGCCGCGGGTGCCGGGACCGGGACCGGGACCGGGGCCGGGGCCGGGCCGGGACCGGGCCGGGGCCGGGCCAGGGAGGGCGGCAGGAATGCGGGGAGCACGGCGGGCTCCCGGGTCCGCGCACGGAGCCAGGCGCAGGGACGGGAAAGTTTATGCAAGGGAGGAGCAGAAAGTTGGGAGTCAATCAGGAGGCGGCGGGGCCGGGCCTTCCTCCTCCTCCTGCCAACCTCCTCCTCCTCCTCCTCCTCCCACCGGTCCTCCCGCCCTCCCTCCCGCTCGCACCCCCGGGGCAGCGGCTGCGAGCGCCGCGGCTTCCCCTGCGCCGGGACGTTTACAGGGAAAGGGCAGCGCTGGAGCCCGGCTCGTCCCGCGCCCTGGGAGCGCCCTCTAGGAGCCTTCCTCACCCTCCTCCTCTTCCTCCCTCCTCCAGCCCGCAGCCCCGAGATGCAGCCCAGGGCCGGCGCTGCTGTCCCGCCCCGTCAGCAGCCTGCCAGGGTCGCCCGCGTACATCTGCATCCCGCTCCACTCATCCTCGCCTCCCTATGCTCACCTTTTCCCCTTCCACACTTCATCCTTGTCCTCTGCATGCCCTCGCGCCGTGCTGCACACCTTCATCCCCCTCCTCATCCCCATCCTCACATCCTCACCCCCCACCCAACACCTTCATCCCCCTCCTCACCCGTCTCCAAACACCTTCATGCCCCTCTTATCCCCCCCATACACACCCTCAGCCCCCCATACCCATCTCCCCCAGACACCCACCCCACCCTGAGATACCCAGGATGGGGATCTCAGCCCACGCCACTGCGATTTCCCAGGGGAACCCAGCCAGGAGCCAGCCGATGGGTGGTAACGTGCTAAGCCACAGCCGCTGATCGCATGCAAATCCCTGGCCATGACCCAGCCCGACTGTCGGGAATTGCGGCCCCGGGTATGGGCAACACATGACAAAACCCCGGCATCGCTGGCCATGGGGTCCAGCACACTCCGTGGTACCCAAAACCCCCCAAGGTAAATCAGGGAGAGCGATCCTCCCTGCGCCCTGCTTGGAGAGGGGATGCTCTTTGCATCCCATCCCTTCTCGAAACATGTTTTTCTAATCTTCGTGATGAGCTCGGTTGCATTGAAGCATTCTGGGACAAGACAAGCCAACTCTTCAGCCCGTAAAGCGGCGGTCTCCAAAGCATCCAGCACATTCAGCAATCGTGTGTGATTAATAAAGCCATATCACATTCTTCCACCCTTGGCCTGGTGCTAAGTTGTAAGAAATCTGGCCCCAAAACTGCAACAAAATGGTTGCTATTCTCCAAGGGCCGCTCAGATCCCTCGTTACTCATCCCTTACTTGGGCAAAAATGACATTGACTGCTCCTGGAGATGACAGCCTTAATTGAGTTCAATAGGAGTTTAGGCTGAGTAAGGCATGAGCAAACAAGCGTGCATTAGCCCATGAATAAAAGCCTGATCTGCAAACGTTTAGGAACACATGGAACTCCATGCAGGGGAGTACCAAGGGGGTCACCGCTGTGCCAGGCCTGGTTCAGCTCCGGCTTCAGCTTGGCTACAGCATCCAACCCAACTGCTGGTACCACTGGGATGAGCTGGTTCTGGATTGCAGTGATCCGAGCCTGCTTTGGTGGTTTGTTTCAGTCCTGTCTCTTTATTTGTATTTCTTTTCCTCCTTCAGAAGTCCATAATCCCTGTTTCTGCTTTTCTTCGTCCACTGGTGGGAACAGCGACTTCCTTTCCCAAATTATAATATAAAAGAGCTGCAAGCAGCAACGCCATAAATAATATTTTCTTATGGCCAGAACATCCAAGTCTAGGCAAGACACCAAGAACAGCTACAACACTGTAAAACTCCAACACTTCTCCAGAATGGAGTCACTAATTAAAAAATGATTCCTTTTTAAAGCACTTGGAAAACATTGGCTTTCCCAGTACTGCCTGACGCTTGCTGTGGCAAGCGAGAGCCCATCCTGCAAACCCACAGCCCACGAGCCTGCCTTTCCCTCTCAAAAATGTCCCCAGAATAAATACACAGGGAGGGCAAGGGGAGAGACAAACACCTCATCCCCATCACTTCTTTAGTTCATTAATGTATCACCACTTCAAAGCGTGGAGCAAGAGCCCCCAAAGCTGAGGCAATGCTCTCCGCTGGGCACGGCACTCACTGGGAACCCACCTGACAGCTCCAGCCCTTCCACTCCTAGACCTGCTGGGACGGATCCAGCCCCTTCCCTCCACAGGCGGCCCAGCCATGGGGCATTTGGCCTGTTGAAGCCCCACAGAAATACCCCACATCCCCCCTAAGAGTGAGTCAGTGCTCAGGGCTGGGCACATGGCGTGTGGGGCAGAGGAGAAGCAGAGAAGAGACCCCACTTCCATCCTCCTGCTCAGCTCTGGACTAGCATGCTTCCACGCACTGGAGCAGGATGGGGATGCAGCACCCAGCGCCTGCAAGAGCCACCAGCACCACCATGACATTGGTCCTGGCTGAGCATCAGGCTGGAACCTCCTTTATTTTTGTCTCTGCTTTGCCTTATAGCCAGCTTTGCAAAAACTAAAGCACATTTCCCGGGAGCATCCCTTGAGGAGCTGCCGGCAGTCGCCCCTGGCCATCGGCCATGCCTGTGCCTGCGAGCGCTTCATGGGGTTAAATCTACCCTTGCACTATCGACCCCCTGAAATAAAGCTTCAGAAGCCACGAAGCCTTCCTGGTGTAGGGAACGCATCATCCCTGGGGCAAGAGGAAACCCTTTCTCCAAGGAAGATGCGCACGTTGGGCTCCAACGCTGTTGATAAGGCTCCTTCTTGCTCTTTTCCTTTTTTTCCTGATCTTTTCTTGCAGCAAGCATTCCTTTCACACCCACGCACCCCCCGGCATTCCCAACCATTGGTCTGCCGGCGCATCCGTCACACTTTCCGTCGGCCAAAGTAGATACACATTTCAACTGCTTCCATTCCTGTCTCCTCTGGTGTTAACAGCCAGCGCAAACAAAGAGCCCGAGCATCCATCGCCCTACTGAATTGTTTGCATTTGTTCCTTTGTGCTGCAGTTGGTTTGGGTTAGAGGGTTTGTATAAGTGATTTGGGGTTCTGGGATGGGGTGGCATGGCATTGGTCACCCATGGCAAAGGGTTTCACTCTGCTTGGGCCGCAGGCTGGGAACACCAAGGGGTTTGCAAGCAACAACGAGCAACACAAAAGCTTTTTGGGTGAGGGGAGGGAGAAACTCCCCAGGGAGCAGTTGGGATATCGGCAGCTCATGCTCCAGTGAGAGCTTGGGGAGCCCTAACTCCTTTTTCTCACCCCACTTTGGCTTTTCTGCTTCCATCAGAGGACAGGGACAAGTGTTAGCTCCACTGTTAGCCAAGCTGCGCCCAATTCCAAACAGATGTTGGGATCACAGCTGGATCTGTGGACAGAAAGCTCTTGCTTTCCCCACATTTGCTGCTCATACCTAGCCAGGGGATGCTGCTCCCAAACCGCCGATTCTCCCTTTAGCTTACAAGAAGGTCTCTGATCTCACCACAAGGATAAGGAACGATGTCCCACGCAGTCCCTTTGTCCCTGAGCTGTCTGCCTTCATCTGCCCCACCACAAATGTATGCAGATGAATCACGGAGCCCACATTCGTGCAGCTGGTGGGAAAACCTTGGCTCCACCCATGAAGCCACTCTGGCAGATGCTCTCCAGAGGTCCCACTGCAGCTCACGGTCCCGCAATCACTGTGAGGGAGTTTCAGGCCACAGCATCATTGTGACACTGCCCAGCGAGGATGAGCATCCCTCTTGCACAACCACATCTGCCTCATCCATCTCCTGCTCCTTAGCCTTTCTGTCCCAGTTACCTCTCGCACTGTTAACTTGGGAGGCTTAGATCACCCACAGAATGGGGAAATAACTGTGTGCGTCCTGGGAAGGGGACCCCAAATTGTATCAGGCCACCCTGTGGTCAGTGCATGAGCTGAGCTGGTGAGTGAAGTACTGTTAGGGGGTCAAGGACAGCATGGGGCACCTTGGCATGTCCCATTGTTTCTCAGCACTGAATTAATCAAATTTGGGACTGTGCATGCAGCCAAATCCTCACCCCACAAAGGTGCATTAGTGCTGGAAATGGGGCACAAGCTGCCTTGCTTCCCCCAACCTGCCCTCTCCATCACCTCCCCTTCCCAGTGACTCCCCCCAGACCCCTGTAACATCCATGGGTCTATATCCTGAGGTGGCATCTCCCATCTGCACCTCCCCATGAGCAGGGAGCACCTATGGGGTGTGCAGGGCTCCTGAGCACCACCAGCCCGGTAGGGTCTGGAGGGATGGGGGGACACAGGGGGCCTGGCCGGGCGCTGTGTGACTCAGCACCGCACCACACCTGGTGACTCACGCACCGGCACTTCCTGGTGCACCCAGAGTTTTCCCTTCCAGGTCCCTCCTGGCAGCATCGCCCCGGCCCAGCCCCGTGCTGGTGATGCCAGCTCTGCCTCACGTGGCTGCCGGTGCCTCCCCTTGGCACACACCCAGGCGGTGCCAGTGCTCTGGGTGCCAAGATGCTCCTTAGGGACCCAAATTCCCCAAAGGCTTCCAGGAAGTGGGATTAGACCCAGTGCATGGAGAGCCCTGGGTGTGCAAACACATCAGGGGCACTGCATGGCTGCTTGCACCAGGGAAAGATAGGGCAAAAAGGGTTGGACTTGATCTTGAAGGTCTTTTCCAACCTAACTGATTCTATGATTCTATGACTAAAGGGGGTTGGTGCTCAGTGGCAGGGGGGGTCTGTGCACACTCATAGGCAGATGAGGAAACACAGAGATCACCAACCCCCCTCCCTGAGAGACCGAGCTACAAAATACAAACCAGAATCTAAAAAAAAATAGAAAATAAAAAAGGGGGATGAGTTTCCAGGATCCAAGTCCAAGAAATGTCTCAAAGGGATGAGATCGGGATCGCAGTCAGCCTCATCGGCTAAATATACCCTGAGCTTGACTCTGCCATCTGGCCCCAGTTTGCCTGGATAAGTGTCCCACTGTGCTCTGCAGGCATCGTTCACCTCCAGCCACCACAGGAGCAGCTGTAACCATGAGCATTCACCATGCAGAAGGTGGAAATGGAGGAAGCGGAGCAGGACAGGGACACAGGAGCATCCACTGGGCACCAGCACGTGGTCCCTGTGAAGGTGCTACTCGCAGGCCAGCTTCCCGTCGAAGCTG